TTTTATAGCTTTTCCTATTGAAAAGCCCCCTTATGGCCATTCATACAACACAAAGTAAAACAGATGCATCCCCAGATCTGTTTTCATACATAGACATGTGTGGAAACTAGTGGAACGTCAGAATCTCAGCTAAAACTCACAAAACCATTTCAGCAACCACCAAACTGCTAAAAACAACAAACAATAAAGTGCAGGCAAACAGCTTCCACATAAACATGTAAACACAAAGCAGCAAATCCTGTTCACCTGACAGTATGTACACATATATGCCGTTGGATGCTGAAAACAGACATCTCAAAGAGTCAGAAACTGAAGGTTTTGTCACGCTCTGACCAACATTCACTGAACCAACAGCAAAAGAAGACCAAAACTGCACGTCACATTTAACAAAAACATAGTAATGAATTCCTACTGGTCTGTCTTACTTCCACCACGACTATCTCTCATTATGCCTCGAGACCAGTTTTGCATCAAAACTCTATTTTCTGCCTTATTTGCTCGCTTATTATGCAGCTGTCAACTGTTGAGCACCATGTTGTCACCCGCTTATTTAGTTTCCCCCCCAAAAAATGACTGCTGACACAAAAGCCTAATTTTTGCTGTTCAATACCAAAGAAATTTCAACTTTCACAGATTATGCAGAATTATGTCAAAATGCAATGTCTCTAATAAACCCTAGTGTGCAACTTTGTGAAAAATAAAAGTTTCTGTTTTTCATTTTATACTCCAGAAATGCCAGGTTTTTTACAACTACATTTGTAAAATGAGTGTGACACCCCTGCCTTAGGCAGACTTTTGTCAGTTGAGATACTTCCTCAGTGTCTGAGCCAGAGCATGTGGCCTGGATGGGCAACTTGTCTCGCCTCTCACCTCTATTTATTTTTTTTTTAAAAATAAGGAAGTTTTTTTTAATACTCACATATAGTTGTGAAAATATGTCAATAGAATTTAGCTCAGTAGGCACCTTTTTGGATGGGACTGGACCCCCAAATGCTCCATAAAGGCAACAGTGTACTCATCCAGCTGA